TGTCCATGCATTCAACTTCTGGTAATCCATACAAACTCTCCATCCAGTAACAGGCCTCATTGGAACAAGCTCATTTCTTTCATTTGGAACCACAGTCATACCTCCCTTTTTAGGCACACATTGCACAGGACACACCCAACTACTATCTGCAATGGAATAAATAACTCCTGCATCCAACCACTTGATGATCTTCTTTTTAACTACCTATTGCATAGGTGGATTTAATCTTCTCTGGTGCTCAATACTGGGCTTATGATCTGGCATGAGTTGGATTTTGTGAGAACAAATACCCGGGGGAATCCTAATAATATCTACAATAGTCCACCCAATAGCTCTCTTGAACCTCTTTAACACCGTCACCAAGCACTCTACTTGCCTTGCATTCAAATCTGTTGCATTGATGACCGGCAAAGTATTCTCTTCGCCCAAGTATACATACCTCAAGTGTGGTGGTAGAGCCTTAAGCTCCAATTTTGGTGCCTTCACAATAGATGGTCTTGTGGGTGGGGACTCGTGATTCTTCATGTCTAACTCATACTTCTTTGGTTTTGACCGATATTCACACCTGTCGAGTGCGGCTACCAACTCATCATACTCTTCAATACCATCACTGTCGAAATTCATCATAGCTGTTTCTAGTGCCTCAATACCTAGTCGCTCTTCAATTTGCACTTCTGACCCACTCTCCACTCTGTAAGTTATAGCAGATACTGTTTGGAGATCACCATTCTGGTTCATGGACCCACAGATATTGAAAGTTGCTTCTTTATTATTCAGTCTGAACTTCATCTGTCCCTTTTCCATATCAACCAACGCACGCCCTGATGTAAGAAATGGTCTCCCAAGGATGATGGGAACCTCAAAATCAACCTCACAGTCAAGAATCACAAAATCCGCCGAAAAGATGAAAGACTCTACTTTCACCAGTACGTCATGGAGTACACTAATGGGCCTCTTCACAGTTCGATCGTCCATTAGTAACCGCATTGCAGTGAGTTTTGGGTCCCCTAGACCCAACTTCTTGTAAATAGACAGAGGCATGAGGTGGATGCTAGCACCAAGATCACACAATGCCTTAGCAAAGTGTAACAACCCTATAGTACATGGGATCGTGAAAGCACCAGGGTCTTCCTTCTTTTGCACCAGAGATCTTGTAGCAATAGCGCTACAATGCTGCAATCTATCATCATCTTCAAAACTCACAGACCTTTTCTTTGTCACGATATCTTTCATAAACTTTGCATACCCAGGCATTTGCTCCAAGGCTTCTATCAAAGGGACATTGATAGAAAGCTACTTCAACATAGTAATAAACCTGCGATATTTACCATCTTCAGTCTTCTTCACTAACCTTTGTGGAAAAGGTGGTGGAGGTCTAAGTATGGGGACCACTTTCTGAGATATCTCCGATTCTTGCTCTGTCGCAGTCTCAGACTCTTCTCTAACTTCCACCACATCATCTTCTTTTCTAATCTCAGTATCTACCACAGATGGCATAGGTGGATCTATGGTTTGCGTACCCCCTCGAGTAGTAATTGCCATACAATGATCATCATTCTTTGGATTCTGGAAGGTGTTGCTAGGAAGAGTGCTAGGTTGACGTGGGTTCACTGTAGTAGACAATTGGGTCATCTGCTGCTCTAGGTGCTTTATTGACACTGCATGAGCATCAACCTTTTGACCAATACCAGACAAGTCGTTTCTCATTTCCTTCACATTCTCATCAGTTGCATCAAACCTTCTCATCATCTTATGCATCATAACCTCAATACGTGCCATATTGCCTCCAGTTTCCCTAGCACCAGATTCCCAATTTTGAGGGGGAACATAGGGTCCAACCCGATCGTTTCTGTTGCCATAGTTTTTTCTGTTGTAGTTGTTGTCGCGATTGAAGTTCCCATCCCGTACATAGTGACCTTCTCGGTTGTAATTTCCATAGTTCCGACCTTGGTTCCCTTGACCTTGGCGCTAATTTTCCGTGTTGGATCCTTGGGCATTTGGTCGAAAACCCCCCGTCTGATCATTCACAGAATAAGTATCTTCTTCATAGTAACACTCTTCAACTGGTGGTGGAGTTCTAGTTAAGTAGTTTACATCGTTTACCTTTTCTGCTCCTCCGCTCACATGCTTCAATACCAACCCCAACTCTGTCCTCATCTGGGCCATCTCCTCACGAATATCATCTGCAGAGTTGATAGTTGTATTATGAACGGCAAATATGTTTCTCCTAGAATCTGACCTCCTAGTGCTCCATGCTTTATTGTTGCGAGAGATCCTCTCCAATTTTTCAGCAATCTGTGCATATGTACAATCACCATATGAACCTCCAACAATAGTGTCAAGAACTGCTTTATTGTTATCATCCTGTCCTCGATAGAAATATTCCTTCAGCGACTCATCATCAATACGGTGATTTGGATCACCTCTTACGAATGCAGTGAATCTGTCCCAAGAGCTGCTCACAGACTCTCCAGGTAATGCTACAAAATTGTTGACCCTATCTTTGTGATTGAGCTTCTTGGACACTGGGTAGTACTTCGATCGGAACACCTCCGCAAGTTGGTCCCATGTAAATATTGAGTTATAAGGAAGCTCAGTGAACCATACTACAACATCGCCTGTAAGTGACAGAGGAAACACTCGTATTCCAATGACATCCAGATCCAAATCTGGTCTTCGTACACAACATTTGCAAACCACCCTTAGCTTGGCTAAGTGAGCATGTGGATCCTCCGATGGCGATCCTAAGAATAAGCCTCTTGTTGTAAGCATCTGCATCAAACTACTAGTCACCACAAATGTGTGCCCTGGAGGTAGAGGGGTTAAGACAATAGGTCCATTAGAGTCTTCTATATTCATATTGCCCCGGTAGTTGTCATGTTGTCGTGGGCCTGGTGGATCTTGCGCCCTCAACGCATCCCCCAATTGATTTTTAGCTAGAGCCTGGCTGTCCCCACCAACTACCCTCTGTTGTTGTAACTCATCTGCATCATCTAGATTTCCTCCGATAGGATCAATTGGATCTCTTGGATTGTTCATTCTTCGCAAAGTGCGGTTCAGCTCTGGATCGTAAGGAGTAAGTGGTTCACCCTGGCTCCGTGTACTTGGCATACACTAGAGTTAGAACCTGAGAGAGACAAAAACAAAGAGAAAAAGTAAAAAATTAGGAAATATTTGACTAACGTTCAATAATGTAGTTAAAATAAATCTAAAGGTCAAATTCCCTGGCAGCGGCACTAAATTTTGATACGCTCAAATTACACCTCCCTACAGAAGTATAAGTGATCGTTATCAAGTAAAGAACCCAACTTGTAGGTTGGGGTTGGTCCCATGAGGAAAATGGTTTAGACTTTACTTTAACTAACAATTATATTCAATTAGTCAAATTACTTCCAAAAAAAGGTAATTAAAGGGGGTTTGTCTGTGTGAAACAAATAGTAAGAATTTAATAAGTAAACAGTAATAAAAACTCAACTTTGGTTGTTATCAAGATGAGAGAAATAACTAGGGTATACGTGTTACTCACAAGCTCATAACACAATAATCCTAGTAACAACAATCCTTTCCTAGTGTATTACATGAAAAGTGATAAGTTAGGTATCTCCAAATCCTTGGTCCGGCTACGTGTGTATAATTTACTAACCCTTACCTTTACCTCATATTAGACATCATAATCGATGTTTGGCTTAGTTATTACTTCGCACCAATCGACACTAGCCTATTAGATAGTATCACACTAAATCTATATTGATAATTTTTTTCTTGTTGATTACCTCCTTGGTCCGGCAAGTAGCAACAAGACGAGTTCTAACGCGTGCACTCGTCAAAAAGACTTTTAAATGAAAGAATTATCAATGCATGCAAAACACTATTCAAAAATTGCTTATTTACTATTCATGATTTGTTAATCGCTCATGGTTCCCACAGCCCTAATTGTGGATTTAGTTACCCATATTAGCAAGAACACAATTCATAGTTTTAGATGAAGAAATTATGAACTTACGTAAAGAGAATAATAAACCCAGAAATTTAACTTGAATTGCAAAGCCAAAGTCTTCAAAACGAACTTAGGGAATCAATAATTGCCAGAGTTGCAAATTAATCTCAAAAATCACAAAGTAAAACTAGAATAATAATGTCTAACCCTCAAAAACAAGGTTTACATGCCCTATTTATAGAAAACAAATCCTAAATTAAACGGGAAACAAATTAAGGAAAGTTTGTTCAGGCACGCGTCTTCAATCCATGAGACTGACTTACGGACCGTCGATGGATCTACGGTCCGTAAGTCCCTTCGGTCAGCCAGGACTTAGAAAATATTTCAGCTGCCAAAAATCAGCTTCTCTGAAGCAAACGACGGACTTGCAGTATGGACCATAGATAAATCTACGGTCCGTCAATCCCCTCCGTAGCTTCACACTTAGAATCTTCAAAAATCAGGTACTGGAACCCTCGCAGTATCATTCTACAGATCACTCAGGACAGTCCGTAGATCATCTACGAACCGTCAATGGCCACGTGGTTCCACACTTGGTCAGATTTCCCTGATTTGTCATCCATACCTTGCCTGCTGATCTACGGTCATCACCTACGGACCGTCAATGGACCTACGGTCCGTAGATCACCTCCGTGAATGCCCTTTTTCTGCATTTCTTTCAGTTGTCTCTATACTTCCGCGCATGAACATCTTTCCTGCAAAATACGATAAAAACACATAAAACCAATACAAAAAGGCCCTAGACACACACAACTTGTAAGTGAAATGTATTAGAATTACTGTAAACTCACAGTATATCAGCAACTCCGATAGATGCATCCCCACAGGTAGATATTAATTCCATAGCTGCAGAGGCACCTTTGCCTACTCTGGCCTCCGGCCCTTCAGGTACCTCCACATCCTCCCAGAATCCTACTACTTCTACTGCAGCCCAGCCCACCAAGATCACTCACCCCATTTTGTGGATGTTAAGGCAACTCGATTGGAGGTTGCGGTACCATGGATGATTAAGAGTGCTATCCTAGATGAACTGACTCCCCTACGAGCATCTATTGGCACTCTCACAGCGAGAGTTGATACTTGTGAGAGCAGACAGGGGGAGACTTCAGAGGTGACGGCTTTGAAAGTCGAGGTTGCAGATTTGAGGAAGGATGTGGACTACTTGAAGTCCACAGACTTCACTTCACTATTGGAGGCAACAGATGATATGGATGCCCTAGCGACTTCTGAGATTCCTCCGGCCACCACCAGAGACGTACATAGGGATGACATAGTAGTTGATGAGTCGGAGGCAGAGACCGATGAGGAGCTTATAAAGTTAAGGAAGGAGAGCATATATGAAGACCTGCCAGATCTAGAGGAGATGATTGTACAATCAGTGATCCAGACTTCGCTGACATAGATGTTCATGGCAGCCCCTAGTCGATCTGGTACTGTTGATGTGACTCGGGGCACTGATGCGCATGATCAGAATGATGTGACACTGGGCACTGATGCCCCGACAGATGGAGAAACTGTGTAGACAGGGCTTTTCTTTACCTCCATCTCTATAACTTTTATTGACTTTTTGGTTGTTTTGATTGCATTTGAGGACAATTTGTGTTTTGTTTGTGGTGGGATGAGGTATTTCCATACCTTCCACTTGTGATTAGTATTTTGTTTTTACATTGGGCTTTTGTGCTATAAATTGTGTTTTGGCATTGTGTTTGTGGATATTTGAGTTTGTGGCTCCTTGTGTTGATTGTAAATGGTTTTTGACCCTTTTTGAAAATATTGTGCCACCTCTTGATTGTGTTTGAATGTGGCTGTTCTTTTGCAAATTTGAGTATCGGTCTTAATCAATACCGATGACTTGAATAGTGCTCATAATCGAACAAAAAAGATTATATGGCTACGATGAGGCAAAATGAAGTTGCATAGCCAAAATGTGAACTTTCTGCATCTCATTGTGACTAGCCGATTATCAAATGAGTCTCTTGTGATGATCATTGCACACTAGAGAAAGTGTGGAGTCTTGTTTGATATTGGTGTCAATGTCTTGTGTGATGAGCTTACCATGAACCTTGTGTGATGACTCCTAGAATTTGCCCCGTTGGTCCGGTTGACTAAGTGATGCAAGCTATTGAAATGAGCTTAGGCAACAATTTAAAAGAGTGAAACAATTTGACATTATACCTCTTTTGTGGCCTACCTTGTGAGTGTATGAACTTTGCTTGAACGCCTTTTTGAGCCTTAGCCTTTTCTTGGAAGAAACTTGATGAAATTGTGACCTTTCTTTATCCCTTCACTCATAATCCTCATGGAATGTGGTTTGTTTGAATAACCAACTTAGACCAAAAGCCTAAGTTGGGGGTATAGTGAAAAGAGAAGGTAAATCAAGAAGTTCAAAGAAGTCCCCTTTGACCCATGATTTTGAGAAATATGGAACCCCTCCATACAAAAAAAAAAGAGAAAAGAAAAAGAAAATAAGAATTAAAATGAAAAAGAATGAAAAAGTTTAACATAAAGTTGTGAAAGTGCAAATGAAATGGGGTGTCCGGTATTCCATGGAAAGTGAATAATGGGGTGACTTTTGAGCATGAATGAGAATGATGAAGAAATGAAAAGAAAGTGTTGTTCATACCACATTTCATGAGAATAGGAGCCACTGAGCCTAAAGGACAATATCTTTAAACTCAGCCCCCCCATTACAAGCCTTAAAAAGACCTTTTTTTGTTATCTTGAATAAGCTAAAACAAGTGTTGATTGGAAAATAAGGGCAAACCTATGGGTGAAGTCATGCATCTGTTCATCTTTGTGAGTGTGAGAGTTCTAGGTGATTCTGAAACTATAAAGTGTTGAACCATTGTGTGTGAATATGGAATTATTCTTTCTGTAAGGGAATTTGAGTACCTTTATTGAGCTTGAACTTGCATTTGAAGCAAGTATTGTGAACTTGATAATCTTTGGTAATGGTGAGTCACAACTTGAACCATTGAGTGCACAATTGATCCTTGCATGATTAAGTTGAGTCTTGTTGTGTGCATTCATAATTGAGTCTTGTGTAGCACTGTTTGAGACATCCGCTTTGAACTGCTGAACTTGAGTTTTACATGAGGACAAACAAAAGTTTAAGTTGGGGTTGTTGATGAGTTCTAGGTTTGGACTCATTTAGGGCTTTATTTGGATAGATTTAGTGTCCTCAAATGCTTATTTTGTGCCAATAACTGATGTAAAATCCTTGATTTCCAGGTATTTGGATTGAGGAACAAAGTATGGACACTAATTTGCAAAAAGGAACGAAACAAGCTGAAAGAACGAAGAAATCAAGGTCTGGTGATCGCCAAGTCCCTTTGGCGAGTCATCGAATGACCACCATCTCGCCTAAAGTTCCAGTGTCCTAAGCCCTAAAGGAGAAAATCAAGTTGGCGAGAGAAAGGAGCAGTCAACGTGTCGTCGAGTGGTTCTGCGATGTCGTGTTGGATCGCCCAAAGTTATAGAACTTGAGGATGCTGAACGCCGAAGCAAAAAGGCGATGGAACTGACTAAAGGGCGAATCGTCGAGCCCGACTTACTGCGCCGAATGGCTCTTCGCAGCATATTCTTGGCAACTATAAATACATTTTCAAACATTAAGTTTAGTATCAAATTTTATTTTGAACATGCATTAGATTAATTTTTGAGTTTGAACTCAGAGTATTGAGACAAGTTTTCCTTAGCTTTGAAGAACTGAAGTTTTTCACTTTTGAGAAATTTGAAGTGGGTCTTGGAGATTATTCAATTTGGACCTTTGTAAAGACAAAATTAATCTTACCCAGTTGATGGAAACACAATTTGGTAACGATTTTTTATCTTTTTATGATGTCTAGCTAAAACCCCGATTCTTGGGGTGTGATTATGTGATTATGGCCTGATTTAGCTTATGGGTATTGCTAATTGTTAGCTTTAATGTTGTTTAGAAGTGATTTCAATCATTAATTGTGGTTTAATTTCAAGAATTGTAGTTGCAAATGCAGTTCTACCTTTGTGTTTTTTGTTTGCTCGAGAGAGAGGTTTTAAAACCAAGATTATTGATTGATGGTATGTGGGTATTGGGTTGTCATGGGTTCAGCTCGAGAGAGTGAATCCTAAACCCTTTTCCACACATCAGCTCGAGAGAGTGAATGGACAAAGGCGTAGGTTGTTCATACTTTGCATGCTTGTCGATGTTTGAGAGAAATTGACTTGATTTAGGGTAAATTGTTTAAGAGAATATTTATCGCCCTCTGTAGTCTAGCTTATTCACTGATTTATAGCTATTTCCTAAAAGTTGCAATTACCCATTTGTCCACATAAGCCTATAATCGAATCACATCCCAAGAACCTGTCTCATTATTGTCATTTTTGTGTTGTTTGCTGCTGCTGTAGTTGATAATTTCAAACCAAAACCCCATGTTATTTGACATTCGTGTCACCCCCTATTTGAATAATATTTTTATTCGTAAATGTCTATTCCTATGGCTGATTTGAACATATTCACACTTTACTCTTGAATCTTAAACACGTACCACTCCCAGTGGGATTTGACCCCAACTCATTTTGTTGGGTTATTATAATGACTAACAATTGTTGACACTTACAACTGGATTAAGTGTCCTTGAAATGTTAATCACTAGACAACGTTCCCTTTTGCCTTGGATTTAAATAGGTGGAGATCTGACACACTTGAGTATCCAACTGGTTGATTAATACTAATTGGGAAGCAACTGTTTGAGTTTAAGTGGAGAAGCCATTCTTCAAATTCTTCAACACATTATCAAACCTTTCGTCCTTGTTGAAGATCCTTGTTAGCATTTCCTTGATTTTGTTTCCCTTTGGTCCAACTGGTTCCTTTTGTTTTGGGCGATCATGAGGCGGGATATACCTATCTTTTTCAGCTTTCCTTTGAGTCCAATTTCCACCTCGATTCCTCCAATCTCTCCTATCATCATCTCAATCCTTTTTCCAACCTTGGTTCCTACACAGTCTTGGGTAGTCAGAATGAGAACCCCACAATTGATTTCCCATGTAATTCACCTCTTTATTATATAATGCCTCAAACTTTGCATCGTCTGGGCATTGTCCAACTCTTGTACCAACAACATGTACTGCTTTTAGTCCACTTGTAATGACATGTTTAGATATCAAGACAAGTTGGGTCATCATTTTAGCCATATTTTCATCACGCTCATGATCCTTTTCCATTTGTTCCTTCCCATACTCCGTTGTTGAGAAAATACTTGATCCTCTCTAGCATATCATGCTTATTTACTTTAGTCATATCATCTAGCTACGATGTTGCCACATCGAATGGTTTTTATATCAGCCTACCTTGAATAAGTTCATTTGCCAAGCCAATACTGACTGAGTTAAGGCTGCAATAAAAGTATTGCAACAGCAAATTATTCAGAACATCTTGTGTTGGACATTGTAGAAGAAATATTTTAAACCGCAACCATGACTCGTGAATAGGTTCACCTCCCACTCTTTTAATGTTTTGAATGTTGTCCCTAAGCGTGACAATTTTGGAAGGAGGAAAGGATCTTTCTAAGAATGCCTCGGTTAAATCCTCTCGAGAAGAGATTGAATCATTCAACAACTCATTCAACAATATAGGAGCTTCCCCCTTTAAGGAGAATAGAAATAGTTTCATTCGAATCGATTCTTTTAAGATGTTCTCAAAGATGAACGACCCACAAATATCCACAAAATTTCGAAGGTGTTCATGAGGATCCTTATAAGCTAATTCCCAGAACATTCCTCTTATTAGGAGTAATTGTAGAACTATTCCGGTAACTTGGAAAATTGCCATCCCTGTTGTAGGAGGTAACAAGATTGATCCATTGGTTTCAACAACATTCATATGTATGCCATTAATTATGTCGCCCATTTGATTGTTTTTCCTATAGTGACTAGCGTCGTCACTATCATTATCACTCATGTCTAGACCTGCAAATAAGCAACACAAGAACACCAAACAACAATCTACTAAAATTTAACAAGTCTACAAACTAACTTCACTAATTAAATTCTTAGCAACCATTCTCCGAAAGCAACACCCTTTTCGATAATTCTCAAATTATGCTAAAAATCAATTAACAGAATAAATGGTCATTATCAATAAAAATATTGAACTAAGAGTTGGGATTGAATCCCATAAGAAATATAATAATAAGAATTCAACTAATAAATTAAGAATGCAGACCTATTCATTGTAGCATTTTAAGACAAATGGGTGGATGATTCCACCAAATTTCATAAATTGGTCTGTAGTATCAATTGTCACAATTAAACTAAAATTTAGGAATTCAAGCAATTTATAAGTAATATGGAGGTGCAAGGAATAGAATCGATGTCACATAGGGGTAATTGTGTTTGTAGTGCTAAACAATCATGGATAGGCTG